TTAGGGTGGTAAAAAAAACTTTTACTATTAAGCTATCGCTCTCTAGGATTTTTTATAGGAAGTAAAATATAATCGGCTGTCTTTTATTAAAAAATAATAATAATTATACTTAGAACTGCTCTGAAGAGAAACAGAGTTTTCCGATCAAAAAGTATTGCAGAATACCATGCCATTTCTATGTAAATTTTTTTTTCACCATATACAAAAAAGAAAAACTTCATGGGCTTTGAGGTAGTTTTAAATATAATTTTTTTTTTTACAAAAAAAAAATACGGATGTTTTTTCGATTGAGAAAAATCCTAGTGGATGAGAGTCTAACATTTTAAACTTTTTTTCCACCACATTTATTTTTGGAGCATCCTGATGTACATACAGACATATGTACATATATGCACCTCACTAAGTAGTACTAAATAAAAAGTACTTACATATTATACTTCTGATTGATTTTTCACGCTTCGTTATGCTGCTTTTAACAAAATTTTTACCTGCATAAGTATTGATATTTGTGTTTTAGCTGCCATGGTTACATACATACAAATGTATGTACATACTCACAGTCGTATAAAACTTGTAAAAATTCGCATATTTCGCTCTTCGTTTACCATTTCGTTGTTGCCGTCGATTTTTATGAATGAAAGCCGTAAAAGGCAAAAAGCGCAGCGGGGCTGAGCTTTGTTTTTCAAGTCAACTCCAGTGAGATTTGTATCAACAAAAGTACAACAACACAAAAAATGAACAAAAGCAAAAACAACATGCAACAGCACGGCAAAGTTTCACTTGCAGGGGTGCCCAACCAGCTAAGCGTGAAGCGCTTTTCAGTAGCAGCTGTTAGGCGTTGGAATTGCTGTTGTCACAGTTGTTGCTTTTGTTCTTTTTGTTTCTGCTTCTGTTCTTTTTGTTGCTGTTAAGCGCATTTGGTCAAATGCGCGCTTTAACGTTGATTGTTTGCTGCGTTGTTATGCACTGCGCCCATATGGCGCTGCGCTGCAAGCAGCAGCAATGTAACAGCAGCACAGCAAATTGAAGAGGCAAAGCAGGGCGCAACAAAAAGTGAAAAGAAGCACAAAAAAGCCAGCAAGAAAGAGCAAAAAGAGCAGAGCAAAAATGTGCCGGCATATCCGACACGCGGTCATAAAACGTAAAACGTGCACAGCGTCACGCCGCGTCGCCACCCGCGCCGCGATAATAACGTCGTTGAACAACTCGTCAACAGTAGTAGCGACAGCGGCGACAATAAAAACAACAGCAACAACGAACATCGTCAAAACAGCCGCTACTTGGCGCGCCAACTGAGTGTGACTTGGCGCATCGAAGACGTTTCGCCATCCGTGTTGGTTGGCTGCATGCAACGCGCGCAAAGCTTCTGCTTCTGCTTCTGCATCAACTTGTACTTTTTCTGCTTCTTATGCGCACTTCCTTTTCTACTCCTGCTGTTTCCCCACATTCATCACAGTCCCTTTCTTGGCTTTGCAGCGGATGTAGTTTTCAGTTTCGCGCATCGCATCGCTTTTTATTTCATCTCAACTTGGACAACTGTTGCCAGCTGTTGTTGTTTTTGGTGCTACCAACGACATCGTCGCCAAAAAAAAAAAATAAACGGAAAAGGCGGCATCATCTTGGCCATCAACGCCTTCTTCGTCGTCATTATCGCCAGCAGAAGTGGCAGAGAACAGCTGCAATAAAAATCAAACAGCAACCAGCAGCGAAGTTTGCCAACATTTTGTTCCTGTGACTCCTTAGCCCTCTTCCTCAAACATAGCAGCTCGAATGCGACGACTTGTTGCTCTTGGCTTATGCGGTTAGAGTTAAATGCTTTGGTAGTAGTTGCTATTGCTGTGATTTTTCAGACGACAGCCACTGTGCGTGTGTGGGGGGAAACGAATAAGAAAGGAAGTGCATATCAAGTCAAAAAGTTCTTGAAAGTGTGTGAGTTAAGGTGACATTGGAAGGCTACAGCCGGTTTTCTTGCGTATGATGAGCGACTATAAAATTTGTATGCAAACGTAATCGACTTTAAATAAGTTTTCCTACCGCACTTGTGAGTGGCAATTGAGGCTTAAGTATGCTTACGTTCGCGGCCTTGAGGTCATCAGCAGCCACCATATGTTTTGAAATCAGTGGGACAGTGAAATCGGGTGGACAGTAGTCACTAGACATACTGAAGCTTGTATTTCCAATGTGAAATTCTTTTTGTAGATAATTTTCCGTCCATATAAATTTAGAAATAATCAGCCTGTACAGATAATCCTCTACTAACTGTTTAAAGCTCATGTACAAGAATCGGGAGAGTTACGTCGATATCACCGCATGCGGAAGGTAAAGCCACAAAAGGGAATAAATACGCTACCTAAAGGGCTACCTTGCGATCTGGTACAAGCCCGCCGTCAACAAATTGGTTGGACCTTCGTCAGAATTGGGAGGAACCTCTCCGAGCCGTTTAGTATTAACCGAGGTTTCACACACGGCGACTCCTTAGGGGCTTTGCCTATCTGGGAACCAGCATTTGCACGAATAACAATGTCTGCCGCGCGACCCAATGAAAAATCCCTCTTGCTGATTGGTAATCCTATAGACTGGTCAGGCAATTGAGCAGTAAAGTTATCTCTTGACAAACGAAAATAACATTTATATGTCCCTCATCATCTCTTATCATATATGGCGCCAATGGGTGGACGATGGCATCTGAGGTACGCTAGATGACGCACGCGAGCTTTTACGCATTTTTAGCGGCGTGAACCGGAGAATAACTAGCGATGTGATGAATGAGCTTGCGCTTTACAATGACATGGACCAGCGATGGGCAGAGAGAGCTTTTACTCAGCACGCGCCTATACTTAATGTATAGAAAGCTTAAAAGAGCTCCCATCAGTGACATAGAGACATTGCAGCGGATAGGAACGTATGGATGCTTTGGGTTGGAAGGAACAGGTGTAGAGGGACTGTAGTGTATTCAGCTCGGTCAAAATCGAAGAACAAGGTTTTTGTATGATTGTTTGCCCCTTTGGGATTTCTTTTGATCTATATCTCGAATACTAGTAGTAGTTTTGACAAAATCTTGTAAAATAAGTCACTAAAACTTTACGCTACTCCACACTCTGTGCCTCGCGCACTTTTACCACGGCCAGTTCCTTGAATGCCGCAAAAACTGTAATACAAAGTGGCACACGCCAGGCACGACCTCAAATGAAATACCGGCGCCACCTTTGAATAGTGCCAGCAAAAGCAAAAATAACAAAGAAAAAATTTCCTTTTGTAGCCAAGACACAGGCACACATAACTGTGCACATGCACACATGCACGTTCTCCAGGGAAGCCCCAACAAGCAAGTCAAGTGTGGAAATGTTAGGCCGGCACCAGGTTAGCTGTGGCAGCGGCGGCATAACGTCTCTGTGGTGAGGGTGGTGGAATTACCCACAAAGAAGAAAATCGTAGACACTTGCCAGACACTTTGAAGCGCCACTCACTCACTCACTCACTGCCTAACAAACAAGTGCATAAATGCACAAACACGAAAGGTAGGCAGCGAAGAGGAGCTCGAGTCGGAAGTGCTGTTAGTATGAACACTAAACTGCTGTTGGAGTAGCTGTAAGGTTAAGCTTAAGTGTGTATGTATGTATGGTGCCGTGTGGAGTTGACTCCAAAGTAAAAGTGAGCACTGGCGCTTATGTACAGAGTTGTGTGTGTGGTGCAAGCCAGTGCGCTGTGTTTGTTGAGGTTTTGTGTGTAAAATGTGAAAAGTTTTGATATTTTTCTCACAAACTGCCACATGACCCCACCCGTACAGAATTTCCCTTTTGCACACACACACACTCTCCCTCTCCCTTTTAGCCGCCCCACTCATTTGCTTGCTCTCTTTTTCTGCTCGCTTTTCTAATGCTGCTTCTTTTTATTTGGTCTGTCCTCCCAATAACGCCACCAACATTTCGCTTTTCTTCATTCATTTCTTTGTTGTTACTCTCAGGCAGCAACAAATCGACCCCTCCGCTCCCCTTCCATCACGCCTGCTCTGCTAAGTTTGTACGTTTGATTTTTTTTACTTACTTATATAAAATTCCTTTTTATTTACCACTTGGGAGGTTCGTAAAGATAAAATAAAGCTCAGTGTCGCTCATCGTCCGCTGTGCTGCGTAGGCAGGGCGGCGGCGGGTATAAAATTGTGCTCGTAAAGCCTGCACTGGCAACAGTGGCGTGCTGTGTGTGTGCTGTGCTGTACTGGACGATTTGCTCGTTTGCTCGTAAAGTGCGAGCATTTTGGCAACTGTTGACGTGCTGCTGTGATTTTTGCGCTGCTCCATTACTTCTCTCCCATGGCGCTTTATTGCTGTTGGATTTTTTGTTGTTTGTAAATTGTGGGTCTGTGATTTTGTTGTTGTCTACTATAAATCCGGCAACAGGTTGCTACTTGCCCTGCTGGCTTGGCCCTTTGTCAGCTATGCTGAGCATTTCTTTCACTTTGCTGCATTGTTTGTTTGTTGTAGAAGCTGGTAAGTAGTTGCTTGTATTTTTATTTCTTTTCGAAAGAATGTATTTTTATAAATTGTGGCGATTTAAAGTTTTTGTAGTAATAATAAAAAAAGAGCTTACACTCGGTGGGGGCGTTTTACGTATGTATGTATGTAGCCACTTGGCTCTGTTTATCTTCCTAATAGCCTTATTACGCTTGAAGTGTAGTGAATCACCACCTCTGAGCTGTGATGTTTTTAGCTTTTGCTTTTGAATTTATTTTTATGCTGCTGAGCTTAGTTGTGCTTGAAATCATGTCGACTCTGGCAGATTTTTCTGCTGCCCTGTTAACTTGTGTAAAATATAGTGTAAGCGTTGGTGAACTTCCGAAGTGTATATTTGGAAAAATTGTGGTTGTAATGTAATGAGCTTGGAAAGTGGGTACATGTCGATGAATGTTTTGATGTGAGAAAGTGGTTCTGAATGATAAGCATTAGCAGTTGTATGGAAATTTTTATGTTTTTTTAAATTAAGTTTTTGTATTTTTTTTTCAGGTGTTTTCGGCTGGCAAGTTAAAGTCAAGAGAGTATTCGAATTCGAGCTTATGATTCTTTATAAACTAATTGCATAAAGCCAACCCGATTTGTTTGGAAAATCTGGACGAAATTAAAGGTGAGTATTATTGTTATTGTTAATGTTATTTGTGTGGTTTGTGTAAGACTGTTGATAAACGATTTTTTTATACGAACTGTGACAGAAGAAGGGATGTTGCCTTTATTTTGCGATAAAACGTAAATTTGTTTAGCCATTAGATATTTTAAAGAACTTTGCCGAGAGCAGAAATCACTTCTGGTAGATTTGGATGAACATTTTTTTCGTGATGGAGTGTGCAAGATACCCTCATACACTGGGTACTTATTATGATGTCGGATTTTCAATGGGAGGGTTTTTTTTTTGCAATACAGACAGCTAAGCTGCCCTGGAAAATGCTCGTACTTTCACAGAAAATATACAGAAATTTATAATGAGAATAGAATACTATAATAGTTAATTCTAGCGGTTTTAGTAAAGATTTTCTCTGATTCATAAAGCAGACTAAGTTGTATGAAGATGAGTTATTCCTATAATACTCAGTTCTTTCAAAGTTATTGGGCTTCCATTGTGTATATCCCCGTCTAATCATGCCCGACCCATCAATCCCTGCCATTGGAATGGAAAAATAGCTCGCTCGATTTTATTTTCAAAATTTCGAGAAAATTCGCTGTGTTCGCTGCATGTCCTATTAGTTTGTTGCATGTGCTTTTGATTGGACTAGCAGAGGTTGCTAATTTAAAATTTCAAACTGGGATGAGTTGTTTGGAATGCGCTCTGAGCTATGGCGTAGAGTCCAGTATTGTGTTTTTACTGCATTTGATTCAGAAAAATCCATCTCAGATCCTTTTCTCGTGGACTATTTAGTTTGCTTCATTGCTTAACGAAAAAGTACTGTGCCACATAAGCTGCCCAGTTGTAGGTATGTAGATTGTAGATGTATCTTTGGCTTTATTGAAGGTACATATTTTGATTTAGTCACAGCCGGCTTAAGTGCTTCGATCATAGCTTGTGTAACCTCGGAATATTGTCCATCACTTCTACTCGTAAAGTGAACAGTTAGCTGTTGCGAAAGCCGCTTACCACCATTTGATAGTTTCCTGCTTTTCGAAGCATTTGCTTATCTTCATCGTTACAATGTTTGAATATTTCACTACAAATACGAGTGTTTATAATTTTTTTGTGATTTTTTCTTCACGCGTTTGCCTTCAGTTATTTTAACTAACTACTCGTATTTTAATACGAAATCAGATAAATGAAACGCTATTGGTGCAACCTTACGAGCGACGTTCTGTGGCAACACCACTACTTGTAATGCTACTGCTGCTTCCTGACAAGTGTCTCTTATCCTGCTGCAGCTGTTCTTGCAAGAAATAAACGCCGTTTGGCTTATCTTTTGGCTTCATTTGCAAGCCTTTGTTTTGTTTATTTATAAATTTAACTATGGCACATGAACACCTACTTATACTTACTAAGAACACATACATACCCTGCAAGGAAAGCTACTAGTTGTAAACTAGAATTTTACCAGTTTACGTTTCAGGCTAACTAATTCACGTTCTATCATTTTTCAATGTTAGCGACTGGTATTTTTAACATGGCGCAGGAATTTTATTTTTTATTTTTATTTTTTGTTTTTTATAAACTTTTTTTTTTATTTGGGCTTTTTATTGTAATGTTTAAATTTGATTAAAAATAAAAATATATATTTTTTTAAATTTATTTCTGTTTATGACACAAGCATTTCTTCCCATGTGTATGTTTTTTTGCAATGCAATACGATTTTCAAATTTGTTATTTATATTTAAATTGAAATTATTATATTTACTTATACTCCTTACTTACATGGATTTAGTTTTAAAAATCCTAACCAGAACCAACAGTCTTCACATTGGTAAGAAAAGCAATTAATTGGGTTTTATTTTTACCTTTGGCAATTCAAAGGCAGATGTCGCTGAATGCTTAAGCTCTGCGAAATTGTCGGACTGGTAGACACATACTAGCTAATGAACTAGTATTTTTTTTCTAACTGGTTTAGCTTTTCACTGCAGAGTAGCTTATACCTATTTATGTATGAATTCATGGAAATTGACTACAAAATTAGAAACCAATCAATGGCATGGCTTCAATCGGTCTAAATTACATAACACATAGACAAATGACTGCTTATGTATGTATGTATTAAGAGTGATACGTAAGCGCATGCAAGTACGTAATTTGTTGGTGTCTTACTTATTTCGATGTTATTTGAAAATTGGTTATCTTGTAATTGGTTTGCGCCAATTGCCATTATTTCACAAAATTACCTGCATATATGTACCTAATCACATACGCACACATCTTTATTTACACATTACACAGGTACATACTACAATATTTATGATTGCCTTATTTATGACTAGATATTAGATCAATTTCATAGCTGCTCATTATTATTATTGGCAGTTTATGTTCGGGTAAATTGTATGCAAATAATGCCAGGCAGGATTGAGACGATGTAGTGGAAACAAGTAAGTATTTTGAGTAGATATAATTCTTAAAGTTGCTCGTATTTGAAGTTGAAGCATTTGCCAGCGGATAAAAATATTATTCTCTAATAAATAAAAACTAGCAAATTACGGAGGACTCTATCAAAATTGTAAAGAAAAAACAACAACGAATTCCTTTGCCATTACGCCGCTGCTATTGGCCTCATTACAGCGCACGTTTTCATGGAAAAACATAATTGAAGCAAAAATCCAAAGCGACTAATTAATAGCGGCAAATATGCGCCTCAAGCACGCAACAACAAAAAAACTAATTACATTGTAGTGCGATTTAATTTACAACAACAATTTCTGAGGCGAAAAGTCAAATGCAAAATCAAATGCATAAAGTAGCAAAAAAGTCAAGCAACAAAGTATGTACATAAGTGCGTATGCCAGTCGCGCTAGCTTCGTGTTGTTTTTGTTTTTGCTGACTATACGAAAATATACAACAAATAATCACGCAACAATTAATTTAGCGCAATTTGCATGCAACGCCAAACGGCCACAAGTTGAAGTGACATTATGCGCCAAGGCGTTGCTCTCGAGAGTTTGTGCATATGTATGTACGTGCATGCGTGTGTGTGCGTGAATGGCAGTGTAGATGTGTGATTGTGGCTGCACTACTATACTTTTGCACCTGCATTCGTAGAATTTGCTTATCTCATGCCGGCTGAAATTTTGTGGCGAAATCTTGAATAGGCTTTTAATTATAGAAATTAAATATTAAGTTCATTGAGTTTTTAATCAGAATTTACGCAGCAGTTTACATTATTAATGACTATAATTTTGTTGGCAAACATTAATTATATAAACATATGTATGTATGTAGATTTTAAAATCGCTTTTAAAATCTATGCGTAAAAAAATTTAAGACATATTCAAGTAAATAAAAAAAGAAACAGTCCAGTGCCTTCGTCTTGTTCTGCGGGCTGTATCGGAGACATAGCCGCTAAATTTAAACGTAGAATACGTGGTATGATAACGAGCACATCCAAGTCAAAATCGAAAGCACACACTAAGAAAAAAATATCGATAACAAAAGCAATAAATATTTCGATAGCAAACTCGATAACAAAATCGATAAAAACATCGATAAAAAAATCTATGAAAATAACGACATCAAAATCGATAATAACATCGATAGCAAAATCGATAAAAATTTCGATATAAAACAAAATCGATTACAAAATTTATAAAAAATCGTGAATCGATTAAAATATCGATAACAAAATCGATAGAAAATATCGTTTATTATATCGATAAGTTCCCAAAATATCGATAGCAAAATCAATTACTATATCGATAAAATTTGCGATAACAAAATCGATAAAAAATATCGATAACAAAACCGATAAAATATCGGTTATTATATCGATAAGTCCCGAGAGTTCCGAAAATCTCTAAAATCCCGAAATAGTCCCCAGACTGAGTCTGGTGCAATAAGCGTTTTCGTAAAGCTCTAAAAATTACAGCTACAACATTTCAGCATAGCCTTCATATCGTATTCTACGTCAAAGAAGAAGAAGAAACAAACAGTTCTGAAAAATTGGCGGAATCAGTTGCAACCCTTTTGTTGTCTTTGTTAAAAAAAACATGTATTGGATTAATCTTATTCTAAGGAGCCATTAAATTTCAAGCCTTAGTGTCCAGTATATTTAAAATCATTGAGGCTTGCATAGGCATGTGTCGGAAAGGAACGTATGTAAATTCGCCAAACTTTTAGTTATTGCTGTCGTAACTTTTTTAACCAACGAGCATTCGCGGTGAAAATGGATAGCATTTCTATCTTTTATAAGTTACATCTAAGCTAAATTGAGAAGTTTCTATTTTCTATACGATTTCGTAGGAGCAAACTTCTTAACCCTTTGCAACCAGTTATTAACCCTTCACGTTATAGTGCTCATCAGAAGAGGTTGCAGCAATTGTGATGCTGCTTTGTGCGCGACCCATCACGTTCCAGAACCTAAGCACTATTGGAGTGTGCAGCTAAGCGAACTGCATCTACCGCACCGGGGCCACCACCACACTATCCACCTGTTCATCTACCGGCTCTCTTGAGTAGTCTGACCATTGTCCCAAACTACCGGCCAGTTAGCTATGAGAGCTTTTAATTCTCCACCCATAGCGACACCGTCACCGCTGCTCGCATTCACCGTCATCACCATTATGACTACTGCTGTCATGTCTCTAATCGTGAGCCTCTCTCCCTCCCTTTTGAAGGCTTTGTAGCGGAATCACATCCGTCTTGATAAATTTAACTGCAGGATTTATAATATCACTAAGCCAAATTTTTGTTGCCACAATTTCTAAGATAGAAACCAAGGTTTCAATGAAATAAGCAAAGCCATATTTTTTGCTCTTCATACCGTCAGAATTGGCTAATCTCACATTGCATCTCTTCCCTTTTCATGTTGCATAATTTTAGGAACCCCTGTTTTTTATTTAGTGAAAATTTAGATACATTTTTGCCGTTCCATGCGTTGCTAGGCTTAATATTTATTCCTAAAAACATGTAATATCTCCAGATAATCATAAAATTTACGATTTTAAACA